CAGACATGAAGTTACCTGCTGCAGTCAGTCATCATTACTCCATTCAGTTAGCACTGCATGGAGAGAACAAGGCTATCCATGCTATGTGTCATGTCTGTGGAAGAGAAGCCTGCCCAGTGCATGAAGGCTGGAATACCCGATAGCTGGAACCCTTAAGGTTATAGACAATTCCATCACAGCAGTCATGGAAATGAAATCCCAAGTCCGGTAAGTGTCTATATATAAATTTCTGCAAACTGCAGATACACATTCCTCTCTTGGGTAATTAGATATTGCAAGCTGCCTTGCTTGTTAAACGCTGTACTGGGTATATGTGCATCTAATTATGCAAAATGTGTTGTTGTCTTTTTTAAAAGTTGTGAACTTCACATACTGACCCACTGTTGAATTCAAGATCAGGGAAGGAAGTCTGTCTCTGCAAATTATACTGCAGTTTCTCTATCCTTTGAAAATTAGAGATGCAGTGTCGAATACAGCACTAGAATGTGCATGTACAGAAAGGTATCTTCATGCTTTGTGCAGTTTCAACCACCCTCCTGTGGAACTGACATCAAACCAAAGTCTGGAAAGCTGTGTAATAAAACCCCTTATAAATGCATTTGGAATAATGATTTGGAGTGTAAGGAAGCTATGCAAAATATCAGATGCAATCGACTTCTCTATCCTCAATGTGCAAAAAAAACACCCTTAATTAACTCTGGTATCACTTTGTTTATACACACAGAAAGAAGGCCTGGTCACATTGACATCATGCCATGTATTATTACACAATATTATATTACACTTTTAAATTGGGAAGGTCAAGTTCATCAATACGTAAGAAAGAACTCAAGAGAAAAGAATGTACTGCATAAGTTATTAACACACTACTAGCCCAACAAATCAAAGTACAGAAAAGTAAAAATTCAATTAGAAAAACAAGCAAGAATATTAATTACATAGCCGTTTTAAATTATGTTCAACATGAACAACATTGGATTTTACTAGTTTGCAAAATTAAGAGTCTTTGAGCTACCTAAGGATGGTACATGCAGTTACTTCCTGCAGCCTGCATTCCTTACCATTAACAGCAGCCTCTTTTGTATCTGTACTCCAATTTACACTGCTACCCCTGTATTCAATGGGGCTTTCTCTCTTATGTGATTAGGAACACTGCCCAAAATGTTGCAAATGTATTGAGTATGTTTGCCGATTTTGGTGTGCTCTGTGATGCAGGAGTAAAAAAAATCTATAGAAGAAGAAGAAGCAGCAGCAGCAGCATTCCTAAAGTTGTGAAACAGTTTTATTTACACACACAAAATGAGAATTACAAATTAAAGCACTTCTTGGACTAAAAATAAACAAAACATTCCACCTACTTCTACCATGTGAACAGAACACATTTCCCACTAAAACAGCAGCATATAATGCTTACAAATACCATAAGGTTTTGTTTTTTAAAGAAAAGTTGTGAAGATAAACACACTTTGTCCTAAGGTAATTCATTACATACTGAAGGGTCCAGGGGAGGATTTATATACTGAAGCATCAGACAAAAACAAAAAACTGAAACTTGGGTGTGCACATAGTCACCAGGGAGAAATTGAAAAGCCCCAGTGCATCATGGTGGGGTCAGGGAGGGTCCACAAGGCTCTTTGAATCTCATTTGTAGACTCTTTAGTTATTTTTTGTGGCTAGGTATGCAGCAGCCCTTGCACCTTGTAGAGTACTAGTCTTTGCTGAGTTTCCCGATCTCTGACTCCTCCCACAAGGGTCCAATGGCCCATCAAAGTAGGACCTTAAAGGCTGAGGTGCAAGGGCTGCCCCACATAATGGACACGCAGAAGCACTTCCTGTTTTTATACAGCGCAGCTGGATCTTGCTGTTGGCACTGCAACAACAGGCGAACCAGCCCCCCTGTTGTACTACTACACCTCTTGGTGTGTAGAATTCTTTGCTCTCAAGCCAATTAATGCAAATTTGATATAAACAAAACACGGTTCTCTTGCATGTTTCATTTAAAACATTTGTAGATTGCTTCTCTATAATATCAAAGCAGTTTACAGCAAACAAGCAACAGAATAATAAAGCCACTTAAATATCAATCGAAAACAGTTTGCACTCCCAACCCCCACCCCAACCTCCAGACCCAGCCAATAAAATAAAACCATCCAAACGCTCACTGGTGAAAAATGGTTTTACCCTGTTTCGTTTTGAAGAAAAAAACACACACCCAATGAAAGATGGCGATTTCCTAACATACTCGGAGAGGAGGTCCGAAAGTTTACACCTATCATTATAAAAGGGCCCGATCCCATCGGTCGCAGTGCTAGAACCATGAGCAGTGCCAGTTGCACTCATCTAATCTTGCCTGGTGTGTGTGTACAAAACGGGAGAAGGTAATGAGTATATGGCCACATAGAACTTGAAAGATTTAAGAAAAATCTTGGAAACAAATAGGTAAACAAAGTCTGGAAACAAACAAGCAACCGGATGAAATGGTCTTGGCACAGGTTGAATATAGGATTGCATCACTTCCTGGCTAAACCTTATATATCTGCTTTATTAAATAATATCTTCTGTGCACTGGTATCTCTAACATGGGCTCACTTGTTCTTTTGCGAGTCACTACCTCACGCAGGATTAACCTGAAGGGTGGATAAGAGGGATGCTATTTTATACATAGAGAACCCTGCATCATGAAGGAACACTAAGAACATTTAAGTAAGAAGGTGTTTTTAATTTCAAAGGGGGTTGCAGAAAGGGTGATTGGTGTGGTACACATTTCATGAATGCCTCCTCAAATAACAGTCTCCAACATCACAGAATTGGTGCCAGTCTCACCCTCGTTCCAAATGCCAGGAGGCATCGGCTGAAGAGTAAATCCAAGGACAAAACTGGAATTTTATACGTGCTTTTTACAGGATAAACCAGAATAAACTCATAGCTATACTCTTTGTGGATGTGAAGCTACCAGCTTTGAGAGAAAATCTGGCATCGGCACCAACACTCCAGTACAAGTCCCATCCCCACTTCCAAGCCTGCAGAAGTACCACTGATCAGCCATCACTGAAACATTTGTAAGATTAATCCAGGTAAGAGGGAGGTCTAAAACCAAAAGGTACTGCTCATATTTTGTTTCTGTATAAACACACATTTGGAGGGGGGAGGCCTGCAAAGATATGCTAGTGCAGCCTTTCCAAAGCTGGTGCCCTTCAGATGTTTTGAACTACAACTCCCATCAGTCCTAGTCAGCATAGCTGTGCTGATGCTAATAGTAGCTGTCCCAAACATCTGGAAAGAACCAGTATGGGGAAGGCTGTGCCAGTGTCTCCCAGCACAGAGGCATGAAAGCTCTGAAGAAGCTACTTTTCTTACTCAAAAGGCATTTGAAGGGTAGTATATAAATCTAAAAAACAAAAGCCCTCTGTCCTCAAATGTCTTTCCAACTGGTCTGAGATGCGGAAAGGTTTGCCTTAAATGCACTGGAAAGCTATTTGTGAGCACACTTTTCACTCTGGATTCATCAAGGCTCTGGTTGGTTTAAGATAACAAAGGAGGAAATGAAGCCCTTACAATTATGAGCCCCTCCTTCAAAACAGTCTTTCGGTACCCACTGAGGAGGTTGAGAGGCTGCACAGATAACAATTTTAGCAGACACCTTCAATTATCATTCTATAAAACACTCTTTACTATTTAGTAAAAGATGTCCAAGCTATCTGGGGTGAAAGAGAAGTTTGGTCTTTTGTATGGACTAACCCTTACTAGAACAGGCTGTGTGTGTTGAAGAAGCATATTCCTTGGTTCTGGCAGAGTCTTCTTAATCCATCCTGCTTCAGAGTTCTCCCTCACGTCCCATGGAAGAAATCTTAAGTTTTCTGGGGAGGGGGAATTAGCAACCATGTGCATAGAAGCGGGTAAAGTGTTACCTGGATCAGGTGCACAATTAAGAATTTTTTCTTCCCTGGGTGTTCCCTGCATACCCCCAGTAGCTAGAAGTGAGGATGTAGGCATGATTTTTTGGGAAACTTGGGGAAGAACAAAGAAAAGAAAGCTGCTATCTCCCCTTTTGCACAGAGGACTTTTCAAATCCCACCAGAATTTCAAGGAAGAAAAGGTCAGTCTCAAAATATTGCTTCTGCTTTAGAAGCTGAGTGGGCAGTCATCAACTTTGTCTCGGCAGTGCTTAAGCCTTTTCTGACCTTATACTCCTTTATCAGCAGAAGTGGGTCTCTCAGGCAAAATAAACATTGGCAAAATGCTGTGTCCTGATTTTTAAACTTGTGCAGTTGCATGGGAGGAAAGAAGGGAGAAGAGGCACCAAGGGAAGATGCCGTCACAAACTATATATGAGTATTTTGGAACAAGGGGTGCTGGTGTGCAAATCCCACTAATAGTTGTTTTTAATGTAAAAGGTGATTTGCTAGCTTTTTTTCTTCTTCTCAGCAGCAACACTGGAGAAGTATACGCCATCAGTGGGGGAACTGAGGCCGAGAGAACATAGGTAAAGGTAAAGGGACCCCTGACCATTAGGTCCAGTCGAGACCGACTCTGGGGTTGTGGCACTCATCTCGCTTTATTGGCCGAGGGAGCCGGCGTACAGCTTCTGGGTCATGTGGCCAGCATGACTAAGCCGCTTCTGGCGAACCAGAGCAGCGCACGGAAACACCGTTTACCTTCCCGCCGGAGCGGTACCTATTTATCTACTTGCACTTTGACGTGCTTTCAAACTAGGTTGGCAGGAACAGGGACCGAGCAACGGGAGCTCACCCCGTCGCGGGGATTCGAACCACCAACCTGATCGGCAAGCCCTAGGCTCTGTGGTTTAACTCACAGCGCTACACGGTTGCTGTCAATGTGAGAGTCATGGGAGAGGTAGGACTTGAACCTGGGTCTCCAGATGGTGGTGATGCTGAATGTGCATCCTAAATGAACCTGCTTTTGTTGTTCAAGCAATGGCAAACATTGAAAAGTTTAGCATACCAAGTGATTATCATTAAGAAAACATTCCTTGGACGTCCTTGGAACCCTAGCTGCCAAATAACTAAGATTAAAAAATGTATATTATAATAAGATGGGGGGGGGGAGGATAACTGAAATCAATAGTTTCCACAAAGAGAGCAAAGCTTAGCATAGGAGTTCTCAGGCTTGAGGATTCTGCAGTTGTTTTTAAGCTTAATACACAGTTCTGAAAAGTGCAAACAGTTAAGAAGAGTCAAATGAAAGAGAGCATAACCCCTTGGTGGCCAAGCACTGGGCCCAGCGTCAAGATCTTCTTTTCCTTGTCCAGTTTCATACAAGTTAACTGAGACACTTTAGTCTATGCTCGAGTCTCCTCTTTGTTCGATCCTCCTGGGTTCTTATCCTTAACTACACTGTCTTGCAGATCTGTTGATATATTAGTTGAATCGCTTTTACAGTCACGGCAATCTTTTTCTACCAGTTCTGCATTTCTGCAGTCTTGATTAAGGTTTTCATCATTTTTGCCTTTATGTTTTTTAAGATGGCAAACGTTCTCCTTCTGGTTCGAAGGATTAGCAGTTTCTTCCAGTATGGAGTTCTGACAATCAGCATTGCTATTCTTTTCACCAATGCTTTGCTTAACAACCTCAGGGCTGGCGTGTTTCCTGCTCCGGTCACAATCGTCATCCTTTTTAGCATGTTCTGCCCTTTTTTCATTGGTTGCTTTGCCGCTTGAGTTACAAACCACAGGCACATTCTTGCATTCTCTCCCACTTTTATGTTTAGAAACGTAACCGCTGCGGAGGGAAACCGGCGATGCCAGCTTTTTACTTGGCTTGCTTCCTTCCAACTTCTGCTTCCTCGGCGGCCCCCATATGAAGTGGTCAGAGGGTGTGTAGTGCTGCTGGGCAAACCGCAGGAGTTTCCTCCTCTCTCTCCGGTCTCTAATCGTATATACAAAATATTCCAAAGCGCTTTGCTTAATGTTGGAGATGGTGTCTTCCACAAGAGCTTCGTGAAGAATGAATTTTACAAGAGGAGGTTTGAAACTCTCGTACCCAAGTTCGCCAAGACTCTTCAGAATGCGGGTGATCCTCAAGTAGTTATGCTGGGACCTGTGAAAAGGGGAAAAAATCATCTGAATTCAAAATGACAGGAAGCAAAGTGGGGGATTATTTTTCTTTGCCGGGGGATGGGGCGCGGGGGGAAGAGGATAGAAAAATAATCAGTACCTGACACCTTGACAAAAAGGATTACCAATCCAATGTGGATCTTTCAGAGACAATTCAGATGGAATGGCAACTACCAAGTGAAAGGTCTTTCAATGCCAGCTAAACTAGAATTGCCTTTTCATACTACATAAGAACATAAAAAGGAAGACGAATATGCTAGATCAGGCCAGTGGACCATGGGAAGCCTGCAAGCACAACAGCATTCTGCTCATCTGCAATTTCCAGCAACTAGTATTCAGAGATATGATGCCTATGATAGTAGAGATACAGTACTACTTGGGCGCCACCTGATGACTACAGCTATTAGTTGGGGTTGGGTTTTTTTACAATTAAGTGGTGTATAAAATTTATGAAATAAGTAAATAAATGAAATCAGTATTCACTGACACATCTAAAGACATATGCAAACAGAAATAGTTGCTGATAGACACACAGATGCAAAAACTCTTGACAAAGAATTCACGCTCCTCTCAGGAACAAAGGCAGTATGGAACCGAATCTCATCCCTATGTATGGTGGAGAAAACCATATACCTCCTTCCGACCAGCTGAGCCTGTTCTGCCTTTGAGATCACGTAAAATCTCAGTGCACCACATATGTGCACTTACAACCTGGAAATCAACCACACTTTTATGCAAGTACTGTTCAAATGTTATGCCCTTATATTGACATCTGGGGGTTGGAGAATCTTGATTGCCGCATGTGCCTTCCTCTTTCTCCCAGCCTTTTGCGGTGGAGGTGGATGTAATTCAGAACCACCTGGTTTCTCTTGCAAAGAGATGGGAATTGTATATTGTCATTCTTGTTAGAAGACTGAATGATGTTAAGATTTTATGGTGCATTTATGATGTATTTTTTATTGCTGCAACCCACCCTGGAACAGCTTGGCAACAAAGAGCAGGATATAAAATGTTGCAAATAAATAAAATGGGGAGTAGTGCAAGTAGAGGATTTTCTCTACTGCAAGACATCACTTACTCATTTAAGTGCTGGAATCGTTCTTGCCAATTAGATGCTCGTGCAACATTTCCGGTTTTATCAATTAATTTTATTCCAAAAAACTCCAGCATCATTTTGTAAGCCAACAGGAATCTTCTAATTGCTTCTTTTGTTTTTTTGAATTCCTGCAACACGTTTTCAAAAAGAAGGTACAAACAACAACAAAATTAGAGATATAGAATAATTTTACCCTTAATCATCAAGCAGCAAAGTTATATTGTGAATTATTAGCTTTACCTCAATTTCATATGTTGTTAATTCCTTTGCATAGAAATTCAGTCCTTGCTCTCTTAATGGAAAAAGCCTATATTATTAAAGACACACAGATTTGTTGCGGATTAAGCGAGTTTAGACAAATTTATATAAATGTATTATAAAAGCAATGAAAAGAAAACAATTACCAACCACTGTATGTAAGTGTGATTGTGTTCCAACTTTTCATAATCTCCTTTCCACTTATTTAGGACTTCTTCAATATAAACACCTATAAATACAAATGCATGAGCAAATCCAAACATCAAATACAACAATCTGTATATAATATCATGTATCTAAAAATGCTGTGGCATAGAACACAAAAATGTATTTTGCAGACAAATATACTGTCTCTAATTATTTGAAAATATTAACATTGTCCTTCTAACCCCAGAGAAGACACCAGGCACTATATAGGGCCAAGGATCTACAAATGCACTTGCCAGCTTGTTACTGGGGAGTACATATTTTGCTTTGACATGAGCACATCAGCAAGGCAACCCTTTGCTCTTCCTTCCTTTGCTGGAGGAGTGTGAGGGCTCTGTAATGAGAAAGGTCGGAGCTGTCCTTGATGCTGAGGTTTAGCACAATGGGAATAAATGCCTGACCTCCTCAACTCTGGAAAAGGAGAGGTGCTCACCTCTGCAGTTCTTTATTTCAAGTTCAGCATAATGTTAGAACATCCTGCCCATTCCCTCAGAGGAAGTTGGTAAGTGCCATGGCAAGGAACTGTTTGAACTAGCTGCTAAGGCCAGTCTATGTTTTTTGACCTATGCTCAGTGCCACAATGTTATTAATATAAATTATCTGTCTGCCAAGAGCAATTTGCTCTCCCTATCACAACAGCCAGCCATGCTATAAGTAGTGTGGCTCAGCCCTCTCCCCACCAACCTTGTGACTTTACTTAAAACTACTTCCCCAAACAAATGTGTTGGTGGTGGGGAATGGCAATATTCTATAAATTGCTAACTCTTAAGTAAAATCAATGCCCACTGGACATGATCCACTTAACCCAGTAGCCAAGGTTTCTAAAAAATACATAGTCTGTTCACAATAGTGCAACACAATAACACCAAAGTTCAAATGCACCAAAGAAATACTGGTTTTATTAATCTGGCACCAACATATATAACATAACCTGGGGGGTTTGTTTCACTTGAAGAGCACAATGGTGATGCCACTAATAATTTTTCTAGAGCTTTTCAAGTTATGCTTAATAAATTTGAAAGTTCAAGGCATCATGATCCAGATTAATAGGAAACCCACAAGAGATCTGCTTTTCTTGGAGTACAGTGGTACCTCGCAAGACGAATGCCTCGCAAGACGAAAAACGCGCAAGACGAAAGAGTTTTCCGTTTTTTGAGTCGTTCCGCAAGACGAATTTCCCTATGGGCTTGCTTCGCAAGACGAAACGTCTTGCGAGTTCTTGCGAGTTTGTTTCCTTTTTCTTAAAGCCGCTAAGCCGTTAATAGCCACTAAGCCGCTAATAGCCGTGCTTCGCAAGACGAAGAGACTCACGGAACGGATTAATTTCGTCTTGCGAGGCACCACTGTAAACCAAAAGTAGTGGAAATTTTGCACCATTTGAGGTTGGAGCAGAAAACCAAAATCAGGCTGCTGCAGCTCACAAACAGGTTAGGGGTAGTATATTTGAACTTCACAAATATGAGCTTCTGTTTAATTGACTAAAATGAAATCCCATGCCTTAAACTGCCATCACATGCACACTTTCCTAGGAGAATGCCTCACTGATCTCAGTATGCCTTATTTCCAAGTAAACATGCATAGGATAGGGCTACAAAACTGCTGAAGCCAAACCTGACACTGAATTGGTTTTGATCTTTTGATTTACAAAGGCCTTGGATATAAAAGAATGAAACAAACACTGTGACAATGCCCATGGATTACTTACCATCAGGTTTAAAGGGAATTTTATTCTTGTAAAAACGGAGGTTGCACAAATCATTCTGATACCGCAGATCTTTAAAGTTCTGCTGAGCAGAGAGATGGGGGGGGGAACACAAAGCATGATCAGCCAAATATATCTATAGGAAATAGGCTGAAGATAAGCCGTCATGAGTATGACAGATAAGAATCCGACCAAATGAAAGTCAAGCCAGATCTTGATGGTGGGACAAGTGTCCCTCTCTCTCAGCTTAGTTCTATGATTGGGAAAACAGGTTTGTATTCAATGCAGAGTAGCCATAAGTGGTTTCAGCTTGGGCAAAGGGGATGGATGGCCTGTGGGGGTGGGGAGAAGGATTGGATAGCTGTTCAGGGGTATCCAGTGTGGTGCCCTTCAGATGTTTTGGACTACAAGTCCCATCAGCTGCAGCCAGCATGGGTACTTGTCAGGAATGATGAGAGTTGTAGTCCAACAACATCTATAGGGCACCACATTGGTTAACTCTAGTTTAATCGCTTCTGTGCCAGCCATCTGTCCCCAGCAACTCTTCCTGCCCCATCCATTGTGCAACTTGAAGTCACTTGTGCTGCTTTCCTTAAAAACTTGTAGGAAACCAGCCCTGGAATTACATGTAATGCGTAATCTTTCCCTTAAGCTAAGGGCAGGTAATTCAAGGTTATTCAAGGCAGGTTATTCAAGAGAAATGAGCAGGTCAAGAGGAGGTGGATGGGAGACACTAATAATTCAGGTTCATGAATTGATTATATAATAGCATATACGACATAGTAGAACTATTCCATATAGAAAGATAAGCTTTCAAGTCTTTGCTAATCAACAAAAATTGAACTATAATATAACACAGTTAAAATATCTAATACTGTTCAAAGGAAGGGTAGTGTGGCAATTATATAGTGAGCAACTTGGGTGGCAATTCTATACCCACCTACCTGAGAGTAAGCCCCTCTGAACTCAGTTCGACCTACTTCCGAGTAGACATATACAGGATTACACTGTTAGTTTTCTCCGAAGTACATCCCAGCGAGTTAAAGGACACTCTCAAGTTAGTGTATTTAGGATTGTCACATTACAGGGGTTAACTCATGAAACATGCTATAACATGTATCTGACTTTATATTTTCCCCATTGTTTTCATGTCATTTTTCTAGCTCAGCTTCTCAGGGTCCCACATCTCATGTAATTGGTGCTAAAGTTTATTCTATCAATGTATGAGAATTTCTGTTCATTTCCTGGTACATTTTTGCCCATAGAATGGCCTTTGGCTGCCATCTTTTCTTCTGGGGAGCAGGTTACATTGAACGCAGTGGGACATACTTCTGAGCAAACATGTACAGAACCGCGCTTGTTATGCTCTCTCTTGAATGCCCTGATAGGAGAGTGTTTGTGGCAATAATTTGCAAATGCAGATATATGTGCTATCAAGACCATCTTTTCTGGTACAAAACCTAGGACATTGTGTCCACTGTCTAGCACAGGCATAGGCAAACTCGGCCCTCCAAATGTTTTGGGACTACAACTCCCATCATCCCTAGCTAACAGGACCAGTTGTCAGGGATGATGAGAGTTGTAGTCCCAAAACATCTGGAGGGCTGAGTCTGCCTATGCCTAGTCTAGCAAAAGTCTCTGTTACCAGTAGGTACAGTATATAAAATCAAACATACTTGTCTTCTAGTAGAAGCAGCCAACAGTGGCAGCCATGGGGTTTTCTAGGATTAGTCACCCACCCACCTGCATGTATTTTCATAGACTTATGTGATGGAGTTCTGTAGATTTGAAACACTCCGCTGGAACTGTAAAATTACTTTAGGGACTTAAAAAAATTGCCACGCCTCTATCTTGGTGAAGATCTGAATACTGCAAAATTCTCTTACTGGATATTGGTGCCGATATTTGTACAAATCTCTTGCAGCGTAAAAGCTTCTCTTTGGTTTAGCTGCCACTTCAATTGCATCATCCCCCTGCAAAGAGCAGACATATTCCATGAGCATAATCTTTTTAGACTTGACTGTATATTTAGTAGTGTGGCATTCCATTTTAAAAAAATAAAAATGGGCTGCATTCATTCCAAAGGGCCACACATGCTGTTCTGTGTGCACACTGATGCTTTTCAATTCCCTCCCTCCCACATTTCCTTGCATTCCTTCCCAAAAAGCTGTTCCTGAAGTTTGGTGGAGGTCGTTCCCCCCCCCCCCGAGCTGCAGCTGGAAGGGGAATGAGACTGCGTGTTAGTTCACACATGCATGCTCATTGCTTGATGACCGGTATCCAGGCACGACTGCCACAAGTGAATAAGTTGAGCAGTACAGATAGGCAATATGGAAGTTTTCTCATCACAGCCAGCAGCACATTGTTTTCCTGTGGAGCTTGTTCACAAGTCTGGCAGCAAGTCAAGGGCCTATTCACACAGCATAGTGACCTCATTTCTATTACTTTGGGGACATTCAAAGTTAGTATCTGACTTGTAACTGGGCTGCTCTCATTTTCAAGCATTGTTTGTTTAAGCTATGCTATTCATGTAACTGCCATGTCTTTAATTTTGGTGCTGCTACTTCTTAAAACTTTTTCCTGTAGAAAATGAAACAGCTATGTGTTAAGCTGTAGTTATGGATGGATCAGTCTATTTCCAATTCGTGTCACTCAACCATGAAGCTCACTGGGTGACCTTCAACAGTTTCTTAACCTCACTCTGAAAGATTAATGCGGAGAAGCCAACATGACAAAGGACTGGAAAACAAAACACAGAAATTTCAAACTACCTCAACTGTTTAAACATTTGCACGCATGCACATGTGTGCACACACAAATATACATCAAACATACATATGCATGTGATTTCCTATTCCAAAGCAATTTATTGGTACTATTAGGGTTACACTCAGTGGTTTTTTTATGATGGGTTTCTGGTTACTGAATATTGTCCTTCATGCATTCTACTAAATGGTTCCTGTTGTTTAAAATAAAGAAGAAGAAATAAATAGGTTTATTTTCTCACGACCTTGAGAGACTGACTCTTCTTGCTAAAAGTTGTCTGGCACATGTGGCTAGCCAGCTGGAAGTGACCCCCGAAAGAAATAGGGTACCATTAGGACTTAAACAGATTAGGGCTTTCCTCAGAAATCTGAACTTCTGATTCCAGAATGTGATAAAGGAAGGTACCAGTGACAATGGCCATAATTTTGCCCACCTTTCAGACAGAGAATCTTGGAGGGAGGGCTTGATACACACTATGGAGCAATGGTGACATTTTTATTTTATTTTTTGCCTACAAGTATAAATTATTCAAGCTTTCAGAAAACTTCAAGGGACTGCTGAACCAAGATCTGCATAAGTACAAGTCTGTCTAGTTTGTAAGTGCTCTGAGCTCAGTACTGCAGACCATAAAACATTCTGAGTGAGTATTTTTAAAATATTAAATAACCTTGCATTAAGATTTTAAATTGCCAAAATAACCATTTATGAAAGGTTAAGAAAGAGTATGCAAATGTACACCACTTTCAGAATCTATGGTTATTTCCTATACTGAATAATAAGACTTGCACTCTAGCTGGTGTTTGGCTTAAAATTGCACATTAAAGAATAATAGGCACCCTCAGTGTGTCAACCATTGATAATTCCATTAGTCACAGTTTTGTTATATGTTAAATCTTAACATAAGATATAATTTAACAAACTCCACTCAAATAATAAATATTTTTCCATAGATTTAGGGGTTTTGTAGCCAAACCTATAACCAAGGAAAAACAGAAACATTGTTGTATCTGCCCAGCCACTAGAATAACCCATTATTTGCCTTCTACTAGTGTTCTTTTCTATCTTTCAAAACACTTTTAAAAAAGAGAACAATACATCTTCACATTGTTACCAACCAGAATTTGATATGGGCTAATGTTTTTACTTGCTTCACGGTTCATTTTTAATATTTGGATAAAACCTGGAACTCAAGTTACAGGATTATCCCCTCTTCTTATGTGTAAGAGACAGCCTCTCTGGAGTTAATAACTTTTCTTGACTTAGTATCTCTGAATAATGACAACTTGCACCGACCCCATCCCATCTAGTCAATGTGCTGCATGTGTAAGAACTGCTTATGGATCCAAGCAACATAATTCCACTACTTTATGAATGGATAAAGGACATTTACTGGAACAGGGCGTGGGGGGGCAGGGGAGAAGGAGTGGCAAATTTGTCAGAAGTAACTTTTGACTGAATGAGCCAAACGGGTTGTATTCAACTAACTTTTACTCAGAGTAAACCTATTGAAATTAATTACTAATACTAACTTAGGTTCATTCATTTCAATGGGTTTACTCTGAGGAACAGTGGAATACAAAGTCCCACAGAGCCTTAATTATCCTAGATAGTTTCCATTACTTTTCATTTTACAGGTGTCCAGTGATGGACTATTCAAACTCAAAGCCTTTATCATAATGCTGGGGTGGGGAGGTGCATTACCTCTAATGGGACTGGTGTTGGTAAAGGGGAATATGCAACTGAAAAGAGGCAAATGGCAACAGCAGTGCATGGGGACTTTACTGCACGCACATCAAAGCAGCAAAAAAAACCACTCTTCTTTTCTTGGCAAAAGCCACAAAAACAAATGCAGACTCTACATTATATTTTGAAGATTGTATACTGCTTCCAACATTTCCACGTTTATTAAAGAAACCTACCAATGCTTACTTGGGGGTTTGTACTTTGGCGCTGTGGGTTAAACCACTGAGCCTCTTGGGCTTCCCAATCAGAAGGTCGGCGGTTCGAATCCCCGCGATGGGGTGAGCTCCTGTTGCTCAGTCCCTGCTCCTGACAACCTAGCAGTTTGAAAGCACGTCAAAGTGCAAGTAGATAAATAGGTACCGCTCCGGCGGGAAGGTAAATGGTGTTTCCGTGTGCTGCTCTGGTTCACCAGAAGCGGCTTAGTCATGCTGGCCACATGACCCGGAAGCTGTACGCCGGCTCCCTCGGCCAATAAAGCGAGATGAGCGCTGCAACCCCAGAGTTGGCTACGACTGGACCTAATGGTCAGGGGTCCCTTTACCCAGTGCTTTTTTTCCAGGGGGTAGTCAAGGGTACATAGTACCAGCACCTTTTTTATGCTGTTAAAAAGTGTAGCACTTACTGTAACAACTTCATGGTGAGTACCGGCACCTATTTTTCTAGGGAAATAAAGCACTGTTTGTACCATTGATTTCAGTAGGATTTACTTTTGAGTAGATGTGCATAGGACTGTGATGTAAGATCCCTGTTGGAATGCAGTCAGAAAATAAAACACAGATCCATACCTTTTGTACTGTGCAAATATACATATGGGAATACTGAATGGCAAAACTGCCTAAAAAGTGCCCCACTTATCACATGAGCCAGGCTAATATGTGGAGGTACAGTTTCAATAATAATAATTCTCTACAGAGATGAAAGCATGAGGTGGAAACATAAGGACAGTGGTCTTCAGTTTAATGTTTGTTAAGAGACAGAAAATAATTCCATGGAGGTAATGATTGAAAATAGAGTCCACGTTGCATTCAGGGTAAGAGTATTTTTTTAAAAAAGTAAAAAGCTGAGAATATGATCTAGCCTAGAGTTGAATAAGGAGGAGGCAAGTAACTCTTTTTTCTTTGAATAATCTCCTTATTTCTTGGGTTTATGAGTTCTTTTGGTCCTGCACAGTGATGTGTTGTCTAATACGTGCAATCATAGCTGTAGTTACACTCAGCCAGAATGTCAAATAAGCCCTGTTCTGAAACTGCATTTTGTCACCACATGTGCTACTGTAATTTCTATCCCCTGAACAGGCAGGCATGTGATGGGGGGATGATTATGCCAAGGAAACAGAGAAGATTAGAACTACTTTGACCTTCTACATTTTAAAGCCACCAGAATCTTTTTCTAAAAGAGAAGATATAAAGCTCTGCTGAACAGCTTGCCAGAGGGAAAATGAATAAATCCCCCACCCCACCGTTCCTCCTTGCTACGCATGTCACAGGAAGGAAAACAAAAATCAGGCTGGATCAGCAAGCTGGTAACAAAATACAGCAAACCTGCCAGGCCAGAGTGCTTCGCTTCCTTGGTCTTCTTTCCTTTGATTGCCACACACCTCAAATCCATATTTAGCTTCTTCTTTTTTAACCCTACTAAGAATATTATGATGATGATAACAACAACAACAACAAGAAGGATGATGCAGCCACAGCTTGGCTCCTGAGTCACACTGCATGCGGGGGGGGTGGGGGTGGGGGAGAGGAAAAAAAGGGAAATGGAGAAAGCTGAAAGTAGAAATGTATATTTATCTCTGTCTCTCTCACACACACGCGCGCACACACACACGCACCCCAAGCGTTCGCAACCATGGTGTCCAAAAGTCCCCTGCTGCTGCATTCCGAGACTCTGGCGCACACCTGCCTCTGAACAGACACACAACCTTGGAGAGGCACCAGCACTGGCAGGGGGGCAGAGGCAATGGCGCTGAGGGGGGAGGGCTCCAGACACCGCCCCCCAAATAGCCCCCTGGAGAAGTTTGCAGCGTCCCGAGTTACCTGCTCGGTGCTGGCGGCTTCCGCTTCGTCGTGCCTCCCTCCCTCTTGATCCTCGCCTTCCTCCTCCTCCTTCTCCTCTTCCTCGTCGTCCTCGTCTTCCTCGAGCTCCTCTTCTTCAGGCTCCTCAGCAACCCCTTCTCTGGGCTCGGCGTCTTCCGGCCGGCAGCTTGCCGCAGGGAGCGGTTCCCCCTGCTGCTGCTGCTGCTGCTGTTCGTCCTCAGCTGGGTCGCCGCCGCCGCCGCCGCCGCCTCCTTCTTCTCCGCCCCCCAGCCCCTCGAGCGGCGTCCCTTCTTCCCCCCCGGAGTCCTGGAGCTCGGGCTCGGAGTCCGTCTCCCAGGTAGAGTCGCAGTCCTCCACCGTGGTGGGCTCCTTGAAGCTGACCCCGCTCAGCAAACTGCCCATTGGGAGAGGCAACGCAGGAGCCTCTCTCTCCCGCCCGGGGAGGACGGGGGAGGGGGCGCGCGCCCAGGGGAAAGAGGGGAAGGTCGGTCGGTCCGTAGGTAGGTTCCGCGAGCAGGCTAGGAATGCCGCTGCCGCCGCCGCCACCACCTCTGCTGCTGCTGCTGCGGCTGGGGCATGGTTGGCAGCGCCGGGAGGCCGCAGGCAACGCGAAGGAGGCTGGCGAAAAAGACGACGACGAGGAAGACAGAGGCAGGCGCAAGCGGCAGAAGCGGCAGCAGGCGATGCTCTGCTCCTCCTCAGCCAGTCTCTCTCTCTCTCTCACCCACCCACCCCCAGCCCACAAACACGCGCCGTGGGGAGGAGGAGCCGAGCGTTTGGGATTTCCACAGGAAATAGTTGAGCCCGCCCAGCGCCCCCTGAGCGGCGGCGGCGGCAGTAGCAGAGCGCAGCTGCCGCGCAAAAGAGGAACCTGGAGCGGACGGAGCGCTTCTCCGTGGCGGGGAAGGGGCGCCTTACGCAACCAGAACTTTCTATAGAGACGCGCGCGGGCGCGCGCTTAGTTTTATCCGGGAGCATTCCAAGGCGCGAGGGAGACGGTGCCCCGGGACCCAGGAGTCCCCCTGCGGACGGTGGTGGCTTTGTCACCTCCGCTCTAGGTACAGATGACTTGCGGGCGGCAATGGGCACCTACCTCTGCCACACGGAGAAGTGTACAGGGAGCTTCCTTATGTCGAGTCCATTTACCTCACTAGTGTCTGTTCTGGCTGGCAGCAGCTCCCCAGGCCCAGACCCCGGACCTCACTTGGAGATGCAAGGGATTGCACCCGGCCCTATGTGGGGAGCTCAGCTTTGGCGGAGAGACGCGCAAGAATATGGAGATGGGGGGGGGGAGAGGGGGCTAATGTTTGCCCATTTCTGCTTAGCAGAACTCCTGCTCCTTCCGTCTCAAGTAGAAACTGAACAGGTGCATCCATGCAACAAAGAGATCATTGGCCTGTTGGATGTCTTGCTGTGTAGCTATGAAATCACAAGAAAGTGGTCTTCTTTCTACACTTCATTGGAATCTACCTTATACAGTGGTACCTCTGGATGTGAAAGGGATCCATTCCGGAGCCCCGTTCGCATCCAGAGTAGAACGCAACCCACGTCTGTGTGTGTCGCAATTCACCACTTCTGCACATGTGTGTGACGTCATTTTGAGCGGCGTGAGCTGCGAAACCCAGAAGTAACGCGTTCCGTTACTTCCGGGTCACCACGGAGCATAACCTGAAAACGCTCAACCTGAAGCATATTTAACCCGAGGTATAACTTTACAAAGTCTGACAATTGGCCCAGCTTTCTTTGGCAATCGCTTGTAGTTGAGTAAGATTGCCTTCCATGAATATGGCCTTAACTCTGTGTCTGTAGGTGACTGTGGAGGCCAATTCTGGATCTGCACATCCTTCTGCAGTGGGGACATAGTTTCCAGGTGGGAGTTGATCACAGCGAGGGTTTGCCAAACGTGCCTTCCTCTAAGCTCTCCTTTGCGTCCTGAGTTTGTGCTTCTTCAAAGTCCATGATGCCTTTGGTAGAGGCTGTTCTCCAAATGAAGCTCTCTCAGGCCAGTGTTTCCCAGTTGTCAGTGTTTATACTAGTACTATTATTTTTTTAGATTTGCCTTGAGAATATCTTTAAACCAGCAAGCTCAGTACTGTCAACACTGACTCTGAAGAGGCTGTGCAGAATTTTAGGTCGGGGTCTCTCTCAGCCCTGCAATCCTACTTTTATCCTGCAACAGAAGGAGGAGAGGACTACTATTTATCAACCCGACAGGTTGACAGGGAATCCCTTTTCACCATAAGTCTCCATGTCTTTTATCAGAGGTCTTACCTTTTGATATAAATCTTATATCACTTGATATAAAGTTTGTATATACACACATACATACATATATAATGACAAATTTTGTTTTAAGTTATTTCTATCTTTTCCCTTCCTCCTTCTTTGAAATGAAAAAATAAATAAAAACCACTGGGTGCACATTCTAATGCAGGTGGTCCAACACATGGCCCTCGAGGCCCTTTTTGGCAGTCCTTGGCAACATTTGACACACACACAAACACCCAGCCCTTACCCAGGTATTCTGAGCTTTGGCTCTGACAGGGTCCTAGAGTCCTCCGGTCTCCTTCCCAAAGCTTAGTTAGTGCTTTCCTGGCTTTGGGAAGGAGATGTAAAGGCTCTAGGACATGGGTAGGCAAACTAAGGCCCGGGGGCCGGATCCGGCCCAATCGCCTTCTAAATCCGGCCCGTGGATGGTCCGGGAATCAGCATGTTTTTACATGAGTAGAATGTGTCCTTTTGTTTAAAATGCACCTCTGGGTTATTTGTGGGTCATAGGAATTCGTTTTCTTCTTCTTCTTCAAAATATAGTCCAGCCCCCCACAAAGTCTGAGGGACAGTGGACCTGACCCCTGCTCTAGGACCCTGTCAGAGCCCTCAGGCCTCCTCTAAATCTAGCACCTTACTTATCTGGCTTTGGAAAGGTGGCATGAGTACTTGGTGGGGGCATCAGTTTTTGGACTCACTCTCCCCTCCTCCATGCAACAAGGCAGTGTGCAGTCCGTGGGTTCCATGTCGATGTACTAGTATGGCCCAGTTGGCAGGAAAAGTTTGACCGTCCTGCCCTAATGAAATGTGCTTCACATGCCTCAGCTTGCTTTTATGGGGCAAGCGTATCATACAGTCCATACCATACAACTCAGAGGTTTGAATTTATTTTTTCAGGCAAAATATTCTACGCATGGCAGTCGCCTGTGTCCTGGATTGTGGGATTTTGAACTGGACCACATTTCAAGTTGAATAAAACCTTGCCCTTGGAGATCAAGAAAGAAAGACAATGCCACACCAGTGAAAAAACGTAGAAAGATTGATATGATTGTCGGTGCGCTCATGGTAAGAATACACTCACAGTGAAGTTTTGTTTGTTTTTGAGATTGGGGGGGGGGCGTGCATTCTTGCTTGCAGGGCTGGCTCAATACATTTTGGTGTCGGGCGAACCACAAAATAGCACGCCTCAGGGAAGAAAGGTAGAGCGAAAATCTACATTGGGAACATTGGGACCTGCAGTGCCTCCTATTCCCCAAGAGGGGGCTGTAGACATGGCATTGGGGGGTGCCTGCTGAAATGGCAGCAGACCCGGCATCTAAGGAGTGCTCCGCAGTTGTTGCTGCCACTGCTGCAGCAGTGGTGGGCAATTCATTCCTTGGAGGCCAGATCAGCTGCCACCTGAGGCGGTCACCTCACCTTGTCTCATGAGTGGGCTGGCCCTGCTTGCATGCACTGGGGAAAAGAATATATAAATTCAATGTGAAAAACATTATGTGGAGGGGGGGGATGTACACGATGTGTATTCTAGGATTTTTGCTGAAATATCTCAAACTGAGCACCTGCACATTTTTGAATTTTTGTAACCAACTCCATATGTAAATTAACCAATCTGATTTGTTACTTGTCCCCTCTGTGTATTATTGGGGAATGAAGATAAGGAGATCGCATGGGTGAAATCCCTCAGAGTTACATATGGCAGTGTAAGGGACAGCTGAAAAGTAGAAATTCTGGCACCATCCTTTCTCAGTCATTCTCATAGGCCCCAGCAGCTGAAGGAAAAGCTACTTTTCTAAAAATGTACTGCAGCATGCAGAACTGGTGCTGTCTGTTATGCTCGAAAACATTGCCTGGTACTACAGTTGTTGACAGCCACTGCATAAAAATTGCTAGCTATATTTCCATTTATCTGTTTTGTCAAAGGCTTACCATCTCCCCTCAAGGACGATGATTTAGTTCCCTCCTAGTAAAATTTTGCTGGTCATTATCGATGATCTCATGAACAAGAGCAGTTAGAGCAATGCCATCCAGAACACTGACAAAAATGGTGCATCGCGGGAATTTAAGCACCGTGTACATTTTTCACAATGTATTTTGTCATGGGAGGCAGAGCTGTACTATTAGTCTGAATGCTAAATGTATGGTGCTGTTTAAAAATCTGAAGGATAAATTACAAATAGCAATTCTAGATCACCCTGGAAATGCAGCTTTGCTTCTCTATAAGCGTTGCACAATGCAGCCTTGATGCTGGGGCATCTTTTAAAAAAAAAACTTGCCAAGAACACTTTAAAAAAAATTAATACGTATAGTCATGGGCCCTGAAACGTAACAAGGTTTATTTTATTACAAGTTTTCTATACTGCCTTGCATCGATGGAAAGAAATACCAAAGCAGTTCACATAATTTAAAAATGCAATAAAAATAATAACACTAACAATAATTACTAATCACTACTAATCAATGGACGCGGGTGGCGCTGTGGGTAAAAGCCTCAGCGCCTAGGGCTTGCCGATCGAAAGGTCGGCGGTTCGAATCCCCGCGGCGGGGTGCGCTCCCGTTGTTCGGTCCCAGCGCCTGCCAACCTAGCAGTTCGAAAGCACCCCCGGGTGCAAGTAGATAAATAGGGACCGCTTACTAGCGGGAAGGTAAACGGTGTTCCGTGTGCGGCTCTGGCTCGCCAGAGCAGCAATGTCACGCTGGCCACGTGACCCGGAAGTGTCTCCGGACAGCACTGGCCCCCGGCCTCTTGAGTGAGATGGGCGCACAACCCTAGAGTCTGTCAAGACTGGCCCGTACGGGCAGGGGTACCTTTACTAATCAATAGTATTAAGGGTCAAGGGGAGCAGGCGTTTCTTCAGTTGGTAAAAACAACTCACAGTTGTTGATCTCAATGGGGAAAGCATTCCATACAGTTGGTGCCACAATGGAGAAATATTTCAGCATATTAATGCAATTGCTGTCAATCTTCCTTCCTTCCTTCCTTCCTTCCTTCCTTCCTTCCTTCCTTCCTTCCTAAAAAATCCACTTTTTGCACAACTCCATAATCACCATGCTCTATTGCAATGCCACTTAAGTGTGTGCAACTGAATGACTACCTACTTCTGGCTCGATTCCTTCCCCTCCCTCTGTGAGATCTCACTTGTGTTGAATGTTCTGTTGTGAGTTCTGTGGGGCAGGGACCTATCTTTTCATACTGGTAAGCTATCATGCACTGGGATGGTGCTATCATTCATTGTGTAGACCGGGGTGGAGAACCTTTGGCCCTCCACAAGTTGTTGAACTACAGCTCCCATCACCCTTGACTCTTCATTTTTTTGCATTCTTGGATACCAAACATTCTCCCCTCTGCAAAAAAAATAAGATAACCTTAGGCCACAGTCCTAACCTCACTTACCTGGGAGTAAGACACATTGAATTCAATGTAACTTATTTTTGAGGATTCATGGTAAGGATCGCCTGTTACTATCCGTAAGGTTGGTTTACTCCATAGAGGAGCCAGTGTAAGCTAAATAGTTGGATAATATCCCATTTCTTTGAGTTTA